TTTAATAATGTCTCGAGATGTCTGTGAGCACTGGTCTCTTCACTGCTAAGGGTAATCAGGTGGCCGATTGCTCGTTTGTCATCATAGATTATAAACAGTGGGATTCCATTGTCTTATACTTCCTTTAAACATCAGTCTTTATTTTTTCAAACAAGTGTGATGACAATATGTTCTAATATATAAATTCATCGATGGGAACCCATGCTAGTTCTATTGTATTAAGAGATTGAACGGATGTTTGTGATATTTGTAATAATTTTCTCGATCGATGTTTAAAACTATAACGTCAAGGGTTTCGGTTTGCATACCGTTCTAACATTTCATTAACATAGAAAATGTCAAGGCAAGTAACGCAGCTTACGTCTCAGGTAAGCAAATCTATTTGCATACATCTTGTTAATTATACATTTTAGTTCACTAACCACTGTATCGGTTGATTGAAGAAACTGGCGTTTCTATTAAATGCTGTATTTCTGTTAACATGTTACTTATTACTGTTAGTAAATTAATTTTAGGTTTACAAAGTATGTTATTTGTAACTAACCTAACGAAACATTCAATATATGCATTGTTTTATTACATTTAAATTGGAACAGGTTCGTGGAAAAGTAATTTATATATTTTAACTTTTGAATGCGACTGAAAATGGAAACAGAATTGTTTTCGATCGTCGCTGTGAAACAATTAATGGGGAAAAAACTCTACACATTTTGTGTTAGTTGTTTAAAGTTACAAGTATTTTTAAAATTGAACATTGACGAAAACAAAATATTTTACTATACAATATAAAAACCAGTGAATTAATGAAGACACATTTTATTAATGTATCAACTTCTGCATGTGAACTTAATCTTTATTGTTCTTTATGTGTAAGTGTTGTGGGTCTCGCTTACTCTGTGATTATCAACTACCCCACTGCAAGGTTACCACTTCAATGACTCCTGGTTACCAATCTTATACCATATTTGAGCTACTCCTAGTCAATTATTCAATTTACTTGAATGAAGGTACCAAATTATTCCGCACTTCATTCGTTCGAAATTTAATCAAATATCATCAGATATTATAAAATGTATTCCATTTTAATTAAATATTCCGTTATGTACTCGGAAAATATTATTTGATAATAATATTTTCAGCAAATAATGTATTTAATTAAGCAAATCGGATTTTCAACAGTCAATTTGACTGACTGGTGCGTATTTCCACGCATACCACGAATAACTGAACCATAGAAATTTTACCCAGTTATTTCTGTTATTGTACCTAAAGTTTGTTGTTATTTTGCTAAAGGTCTAACTAAACTTAGCGTGTCTATTGTTCTAATATGGGAATTATTTTCACTTACCATTTAGACGTGCAACTCTGGTAGGAAACAACCTTGCCATGGGTTTTCACTATTGAAACTATATTCTCAGTTTTTGCAAAGAGAACGGGAGAACACCTTTTTATGTTTCTGACAAGGTAACCCTTTTAACTTCTCTTGAAATGCATACACGTACACAATTATATAATTGAAAAAGTTTCCAGAAAAACTAATGTTATTGCAAAACATTCTCATCTTTATTTATGTTAAAAGCATTCAATCTGTCCCTTCTTATGACATTTGTATTTTTGAATGACAATACGAGGACACGTTACTTCCCAGGTTTTTGTCCATTTGACCAACTGACAGCAACACACATGCATAATGATTTTTGTATAGAAGATTTTACTTAAACTTAGGTAATGTCCGTTGGATAAAGACTAGTAACTGGTAAATTCGTCACGCATCGTCAATTGGTACGTGACGCTATCGACCTGATTCTGTTAACCATCAGACCAACTTCCAATAAATAACAATTATACAAAAAATGTACTCATATTACCCACTGAATTAAAATGCTTTTGTAATACAAAAACCGTAAGTTATACATCCATTCACCACACATTTAAAAACACAAGAAATGTTGAAAAAAAAATGTTTTATTTTATTATTACTTTAGATTTAAACCAGCATTGGGTCAGCGTGGTTGTCCACGGCCTAGACACCCCTAGGGTAGTCTGCGGAACCCTCAGTGAAGTCGTATAGTGTGCTGATGGGTTAATACTAAGATTAATTTTAATACAATGAAAAATATCCGAATTACTAATAAAGACTCCATACATAGGTAGCTGTACAACATATTACTTGCAGAAGTAATTAATTTTATTCATTCGAATATTAAACTGTGGACGTGAATTTCACTTATTGATTCTACACTCAGAAAGCAAAATCGTTTAACATCAAATATTAAAGCTCTCTAGCTGCGGGCTTGACGTCCGACGTAACAAGATAGACGTGCCTTGACGACATAGCATGCACAAATTGAAAAGCTGTTTTCGACACGGCGTTTACTTGTTGTACTGCATGTTTGTATTGACGCGTACATACATTTCCTTAGTTTCAAAATTAATTGCCTTTAGTTCCTTGTCGTGTGTCGCAGATATTTAATTGAAAATTTGTTATAATAAATTTTTAAATTAAATCTAAAATATTGAAATAGTTAAACTAAGCGAAAGTCAAATTTTCGTATTTGAAACCTAAGTCGGGCGATTGTCCGTTTGTGCTACTAAGCAAGGCTGCGATAAGACATGGGTGGAATGTTAAGTTGTCGTTGTTACATCCACATCAAAGTCTATATTCCGAATGAAACAAAAACACGTAATCGGTTCGAATTTGGCTGTCGTTGGTACAGCATATTAGTACTGAACATATTGTGAAATTACGTTACGTATGTTCACTACGATAGTCAAATTACAAGTAGTGTTCAGTTTCATACATGTGAAACTAAATAGCATTTATGTCAAAAATTCACGCTTGTTTCATTAAGATTCATCTTATATTTCTCCTAAAAATGGCGAATGTGCATTAGTAAATTTAATTCAATTATCTCGGTTGCATTAATGTTTCATTAGGATTAACGCTGCTTAGCTGCTTGAGGATGTTACCAATTGCAATTCCAATATTAATTACTGTTCAAGTTAATTAATAGTTACATAAATTAAAAGGCGATGCGTGTATTAATTAAATTTGTAGTGATATTATCGTAGTAGTTATAATTTATTTAAAAAAAAAGAGTTTTGAAAACCATGCTCTACTTTCCACTTTGTAATTCGAAGTAAAGCTTTAAACCTATATTTATTGTTTTTGACTGATACCTTATCTGGTAATATGTTTAACTAATATTTTTTCTAATAACGTAATAGTACACTTATGTTTATATACCTTTTGAAAAATCTATATAAATAAAGGTTAATATAATTTTCATTGCAAAATCGGGCACAGTAGAGCAGGCTTTGGTCGTATTTCCTAACGTCCGACGGAATAATTCGAGCTCAAGCAAAATGCCACGCCGTCCTTCACATCCAGATACCTTAAACAGTGCTTGCTCGGAGCTACATTTCAACATATTAATTGCCTGCGGTGTTATGGGCAACGTGGTCTATGCTCTGAAGATGTTTGTGTATATAAAGAACATTTTATTGAGCAACGAACCGTGTGTTACTTATTAAGGTTTATGATAAAGTTGTATTCACATGCCCTCATATGAAGAATTGAAATCTGAAATTAGATGAATAAATTTCGACTAGATTTAATTTCAAGAATGTAAAGAATTTTCATTTCAATTTAAAAAGGTTACGCAAAGGAAATTAAAATCATATTTAAACGGGACACAATCGCTCAAAACCTTTCAAATCATGCGCTGTTTATAATACATTAATTTGGGGATGCTGACAGACGCTCGCTCATATTTGACAAGGGCAGTAAATATTTATTGGAAAGGAAAATCTAAAATTGAATACGTTGTGTTAGTGTACAGTTTGTTTAGTAATTTTATAAAAATCTGATTTGACTTGCAATTACAAAGAATAGGATTTTTTGGACTTATAATTCAAACGTATTCAAAAATATTTCTCATCTGTCGATCATTTCGAGACTCAATTACAGAATATAAATAAGTAGAGACTTTATTGAATACTTCTAATATTTGTAATATTGTAATTAATGTCAAAGTTACTATTTGATCCTTAATGTGATTGGTAAATAGGTATCTAACTGTAAATGGCTGGAAATTTGTTTACGATAAAACAAACGTTGTAAAAGTATGTTTGGTCTGTGCACGGGGACTCTAAGAAATTTCTAGCATATATATTTCATCACATAGAAAAGATAATATGAAAATGGATTTTTCAAGAATTTCTAAGATCCTTCTTTCAAATAGCGGCTACATGATTCTACTCGTAATATGTACTCTTATAATCTGATCTTAACAATTACTTTCTACTGAATACTATAATGTCCAAATAACACGAATGCATAAAACATCGGAAGTGGAATTGCATTGGTGTAGTTGCGGCACATATCGTGTTATGTGTATCGCTAAAGTGCGTTACATAAGTGCGCTTTCTTTAACCGTGTTCCGCGCAACAGCCGACACGCGTTACAGATTTACAATATCGTACTGCCATTAGCATGCGCAATGGCTCTGTCAATCGCACGATAAAAGATCTATATCGTTAAAATGCAATTTCAATTCAATTAATTACATATCAATTAATTTCTTAGTACATCCTGGCTGGTAAGGATTGACAACCTATTTATTACACTTATGGTAATTCAATGTTCGATAGCAAAGCAAAAACAGTACGCGTTTTTGCTTATCCGCGTAATTTTTAATTAACACTTTTAAACGAATTGGTTCAAGTATTCAAATTTCTTCGGTCCAATTTCTGATTATTGAAGTAGATAAAAATATATATAAATACTTAGTACAATTCTTTTTTGCAATATTAATAGCTAGACAGGACTAACTAGGTAGAGGATACCAAACAGCTTATTAGGGGAAAAGTGAGAGAAACCGACGGACAATTCGTGCGGTGTTGAGAATCGTTACTTTCTGCATTATTAAATTTTTAATTTTTATTGTCCTTATCACCTGTGACCTTTATAAGAAATATATCTGTATATCTGGTTACAGATGACCGGCGATGTGGTCACCCAGCAGTGCCGCCTAACGCGCGGGTGACGCTAACCAGCGACACCGCCATCACGCCCGGCGCGGTCGCTACGTACGAATGTGACGATGGTTACGAATTGTTCGGAGCGCACCAGAGGGAGTGCACATTGAGAGGCGATTGGACTGCGGAACCGCCATTTTGTGGTAAGTGTCATTAATAGAATTACTAATAAAATCTTAGGGCTGTAGTACTTGGACAGCATTAAGTAGTTAATAAACTGTTGCAATAACTAGCTGTTAATGTATTGTTAATTTATACATAGTACGTTAATTATTATTTTAAATAAGTGATTTTACAATATTTTAATAATAACCAAACCAGTTATAAGAATATTTCTCATAATATTACGAGTACACGATTAATAATTATTAAAAGCGCCGCCTACGTTTGATTTAAATGCTTCCATTTGAAATGGCATTTGTTGATGGAAATATGTAATTAATATTAAGCTTTTTGTAATTAATTTAATATTATCAGTAATATCCATTTTCCCTTTATATCGAAATAAAAGTTTGCATCATTTTTAAGTGGATGTACTAATAATATCTCATTAATATTATACTCATATTTAGTACTGTGCTAATATTTTTTTTTGTTATAATATATTTTGTTTATATTTTGATTTACCTGTGTAAGTCCACAAATTGGAAGCTACAAATCTATTTATTATTTCAATTTGTTATGCAGGTACAAATGTCGCCTTTAGAAAACCAGCTAACCAATCAACGACAGTCCGCGGAGGGGCGGCGGCTAACGGTAACGATGGCGAGAAGACGACCGAACACGACGGCAAGAGATGCACAGAGACGCAGCGCGAGGCCTCGCCCTGGTGGCAAGTCGACCTGCTCAGGCATTACGCTGTCAAAGTTGTCAGAGTCACCACCAGAGGATGTTGCGGTAAAATTTTATTTATACATCAATACATGTAATAAAATTAGAGTGTCTGTTTGTAATATCAAAAGAAAAATTCCAGATTTCGGGAAGATGATGCGTTGCTGATAACGAAAAACGCATTTTAAAAAAAATTGTCTGTCTGTCTGTCCGCAAGTCGACATTGTTCCAAGTAAGTTCCGAAAAGGCTGGACCAACATCGGCGGCCTTTCACTGAAGGGTAGCTGACATAGAGGGGCATGTTATAGGCTACTTTTTTATCTTAATAATGCGTGGGCAAAGTCGAGGGCAATAGCTCTAAATAATAAACACGCGACAAATATTGGTCGCATGCATCTCTATATGCATGAAATATGAAAATATTAAACCGATTCAGTAGTCGAAGATATTTTTCATAGTTAACAAGTAGATCTTTCATCTTTACAAGTGTACTTAACTTTTATAAAGTTTGTAGCAAGGAGATACAAACACATTTATTATCAGCCCTCGTACAAATCGGAAAAATAACTCGATGCAGAAGAAAATGTCTAAGTTTTATAAAGCGATACTTTACACTTCGAATAAATAACGAGCTCCAGGAATCGCATCAAATGTTTATAACTACGGTACGAAAGTGACGACTAACTTCACTTCGAAGTCAAAGTATTATTCCACGAACTGGATATGCTAAAAATACGGAGAAAATACACTAGCATAGCAAATACTAAAAAATTAAACATTTTTAATTTACGAGTACGTAAAAAGTACTTAAAGCCAATGGAAACGATTAACAAATCAATTTGCACCAAAAAATTTGCATTATCAAAGCTTGTTTAATTGTTTTGATATTATATTTTATTTATTTTATGAAACTTCTCCACCGAAGTTAAGGTGGAAAGGAAATTTTCCAGCATATTCATACCTTCAAATCAATTAAAATAGATAAATGAAGTTCAAACCGTCAAACGTACTTACTTGGGCCAAAAAATATGAATACGGCCTATATTTCATAAATTCTGTGAAAGTTAAAAAAGAAATAAAAAACACAGTAACAAAGGCGAAGATAATTCCGAATACATCAGCCACCTTCAAGTAAAAGTACCGTCAAAATCGATCCAGTCAGTCAGATCAGTTTTAGGGATTATCTTGATCAAACGCGGTCTTGCACACTTGACAGACATAAATGTCGAAAAAAACTATTTTATTTCTTAAATTACATACAGACACTCCGATTTCATTATTTGAATAGATTACCCTCCTGAGTCCTTAATGTCATTAATGTTTAGGTTAATTATGTTTTTGTATAAACAAGTGCGATGTCGCGCATGCAAGCGTGATTCGTTCCAGTCGAGGGGGCAATGTGGTGTCGCAAACGCGTGCAATACCGCTGACCATCATGTGCGGGTATCGTGTGTTGCAAAACCAATCACTTTATTATGACACTTTCACACTGACCACGACAGCACTGCCAGACGGAAAACACAATGACATGATGTCTACATTTTTGCAACAAGGTGCATTTTCTTTCTTGTGGGTAACATTTTATTTGATTCGTACATTGTATTTCAACTTACATAATTCAAATTGATTACAAAATTTAGGAGGTATATTAATGTGCATTGTTTTTAAAATATCCAAATAATGCAACAGTTTTGTCCGTTATTTACATTATTTTGTATAATGTATTAAAATAAACGAACGAACCTTCACCTTGTAAAAATTATATACTTATAGGAGTATGTCAGAAGATATTTTTTAAGAAATGTACCAGCTTATATCTCTTGTTACTTTCTTAAACATGAACCGACTTTACCGCGCGTTATTACACTTTGATGCTTTCTAAAATATAGCAGCTCTTTGAACACGATATTGCAATGTCGAAATAAGTTATCAAGTTTGCTTAATATTTTTCAAAGTGAATCCGGTCTACGAAGACGTTATAACACGGTCTTGAAAGAAGATGTTCTGCTTTGACAGAATTCAATTTACGAACGAAGTCGCATCCGGCATTCGGATGCTATGTAGCCGTCCATGTCAGGAGACTGGTAGCGCAAAATTAAATATTTGAGAGACTTAGGTACTCGAAATATACATTTCATTAAAATGCAACTTCTTGACTACTCAAAAAACTCAATATTCCGGCATAACTCTCTCGAGTGAAGATTGCTGGAGAAAATAAAATTTTACTAGCCCTCGACTTCGTTTGCGCGGAGTTAAATAAAACTTAAATAGTGTCCTATGTATTCTTACAGACTTTTTAATAACTCATATTAAGCAAATGTCTTGGTGGCCAGTATCCAACCTCTTTGGCTGGATATGATCTGCTTGTCAGCCAAAGAGGTTGGATTTGCAATAAACATGTGTGCGAAATTTCAGAGAGATCCGTTTAGCCGTTCTGGTGATACATAAAAACAAACAATCGTCCATTCAAACTTTTGCATTCACTCATGTAAATAAAAATTATTAAATCATGGTTACTTAAAACAGCTTCTTGCTGCTACAATTTGCTGCTTCATAATTTAATTGAGTTCTTATTCGAATAGTGCACCAGTTCACTCAATTAAAATACAACGTCAAAAAAAGTACAGATTTAGAACAAACGATTGTCAGTGACGAAATATTTATCACGGTCAACACAAGGTGAAGTTATAGTACCTATACGTCACAGATTTCTTGTCAAAAGCAATAACTAAATTATGTTAACATAAAATTATTCTTATTGTTTCACATAAAATTCATTTTCAGGTCATCAGCCACTTCAAGACCTAGAAATACGAGTCGGTAACAGCAGTACAGATCTCCAAAGGAACCCTTTATGTGCCTGGTTCCCAGGAACAATAGGTGAGCATAATTCGCTATTGCTATTATTAAATAATATTTAAATGGTCTTACATGAGTTTTATATAAAAGGCATTAAACGTAGATAACATTTTAAAAATTAAGTCCATGGGTACTCGCTTAGTCCCGCCTCTTACATATTATATCGAAATTTCAAAATCCTAGGATTTTTTCTTAAGCACGCTTAAACCTACAAAATACTCAATAAACAAAGTAGTGTAAAGGCTAGAAGACACCTGATCTACAAATAGTTATCATGTATGTAGGTTGAGATCCAAAAGGGTTGTCCCACCCTCATCGGATTTTCTGACAAAATCTACGTTATATGACATGTTGTAACCAGGTTCCCTAATCCTGAACTGGCATGGCTTAATTATTCTCTAAACCCCTTTTTGGATACATTTTTTCTCCAAATTGGAAATTCAATGAGGTCACATAATTACTGATGTTTTTCTACCTAATACTAATTACGCTGCACTACCGACGGTTTATGAGAGCTCCAAATTAATTCGTGTAGCTGAGTTTACCACACGAACTCAATTTCGATAAAATCTGATATTTTGAAGTTTCAGATATTATTCGATACGAATAGAAATTACTATTTACATTTAAATATTCTCTCACTTTAGTTACTATTGTGGTTTAGTTTTTTTTAATTTCAAAGTCGAGCGTTATATAACTAAAATTGTCCTTATGTTCCTGACATATCCAAGTAATATTCTAGTCTCGTAAAGGAAATACTTGAATGTTCTAGATATTCAAGTAATCTGCACTCAATCTCGCAAGGTGACAATATAACTGAAATACCGATCACAAGCTTACAACAAAGACTTAAACTATGTTACTGTATAATAACGATGATCAAAGTTAGAACAATGCATAACATTTCTGAACTATTTAATGTCTACTTAAAATCGCGAAAGTTGATATACAGGCTGCTATGCGTTGTCATGAGCCCGGTATGCGTCGACACGTAAAGTTAAAACATATAGTTTTAAAAGCTCCTCTGTAATCAAAATACCATCAAAACAATTACATTTAGGTACAAATATTAATTTTATTTATAAGAGAAGTACAAAATTAAAACATTTATAAAGCTTACAATGGTGTTACTTGAAACAATTGCGTTGCTACTCTAAGTATTATCTCGAGACCATACCAATCAAAAGGGCATATAGCGGCCGCGCCCAGATTTAGTTTAAAGCAGAGTTCTTAGGCTAAGACTAAAAGATTCAATAGATTCCAGTGTTATAAATGTATAGTGCAAGAAGTATTTCGTTTAAATTGTGAGTACTTTTGCCCAAAAACATTTTAAAAAAGAAGTTTAGAGATTTGGACTAAAATACAACGTAAAATTATTTCTAGAAACGTCATAACAACGTTGGTAAATCATTGGGAATTCTAATAACAACGGTTCATTGTCATCCAAATCTCAAAGTTCCTTTTACGCATGATGACTCATAGTTACGAAATCCAAGAACCGAGTTACGTAGAACGAAACGCAAACAGGGAACATCATGAGCACTTCGGCTGTTCACCTATTTTTATAGTCCCGAAACGAGAACTGTGTCGAAACTCCACCATTGATGCTTTACATGAGAACATTGTTTGTTAACGTTATAAATTTCACGCTTTACGATCTACAAAGTGATTCTATTGAGTATATTGACTTGTTACATTATTATTTTAAGTATGAAAGTTTTTAAATTATATGTTAATATGCATTACTCAACTCACTAATTTAATCCGAACTTTATACGGAGTTATACGGATTCTTCATAAACTTATCGTCTTCATTAGAAGGAGTAGTTTATCCTAGACGCTATAGCCACGGATGTTAAATGTTAGTTGCTTATATTATAAACACAATCTCATCAGCTAAGTTTCAATGTGTTAATAAAGAAAGTTGAAACTATGTCAGCGGTGTTCACATACTCTCTCGCGGAGTCTCGCAGTGCAGCTCACACGATGATAATGGAAGCGGGTTAATGAAATCTCCTACCCTGCCACAGTCACTGGTCACATATTTTCTGTGACTATATTTTGTTTTCATTTATTTTATCACTACAGATCTTTTATTGTTTATATAATTGAAGAAAAAAAAAGAAATTAAAAAATGAAGAATAATCTAGACAAGGTAGTACAATTTTTGCAATTGAAATTATTTTAGGCAAAGACGTAATGGTAATGAACTTGAAGTCTCTTAGGTCGCAAGAGCAATTAATTTTATTAAGTAAAGGTACCATGGATGATTTGCACATTTTAACTTTCGATATAATATAGAATGAATTGATTTTGTTGTCCGGCCAATACCAGTTCCCTGTATCTGGTTTTTATACGGTCTGTTTATTATACGAGTACTGCCACTGCACAAAATACCAGTACAAAACTATTATATTTCCTTTCGAAAAAATTACAAGATTATTTATTTCTATAAGCTCATTTATATGCACATATCTATTAATTTAATGCTTAAATGGAATTTTTATACATACAAGTATCAAGATTTACAATTACTTTGAAAACGTCTAGATAGGCAAAACATTTTTACCCCTTAATATGCTGACTAGGATTATCTGGATGATAAGTTCTAACTTTACATTAATATGAACATATACTTTTTTATAATAGGAATCTTTTTTTAACAATATAAGGTGGCAATCGAGCAAGCGGCCACCTGGATCCTTCGAAATGGAAAGCGACCGCTGCCCATAAACATCCCCAATTGCAGATGCGTTGCCTACCCTTAATTGACGGAGAAGGAGACGCACATAAAGAAGAAATTTCCCCTTCCTATGCGTCTCCTCCACCGTCTAATCTACTTTTCCTTCCCATCCTTTCCCTTTAAGAAAAGCGTGGGAAGGAGAAGGGACTATAATTAGGTCTCCGGGACTACACTCATCAGATGAAACGCGGAATTGCTTCCACTTCACGCCTGTTTTCTGTGTGATTGTGGTATTACACAGGAGGAGCCGGCCTATTCGTACGAAGATGTTACAGCGGACTCTACCACTGTACATATTAATATAATAAACTAGATGGTCAAGCTGATGTTAAGTGGTAGTAGGCGAAATCGGACATTACAAATTTACTTGGAGATTGTGATTCTCCGACTTTTTTTATATATTTGTCAAATAAGGTTAAAATCGAAATTAAATCTAAGTAATACGTAGTCTAAAGCGAATTAATCCTAATGTAACATTGAATTGGATTGGAATTTATTCATGTATCGTCGAAATTCGACATGATATGAAGGGGTATGCGTTGATTAGTTTACGTCGATGAGAGCGTACATTCCAGAGTTCCGCTTTGGTATTTATGCAAACGTAGTTCGGATTCATTATCGGAATTACCTGTCTAATGTAACGGACACAATGCACTAAACTATTCATGTTAAACCCAGATTTAATTAAAACTTTTCATATGTACTTTCATAACTAATATTATAATACTCTCTAACGGTTGTCCGCGACTTCGTCCACGTGGAGTTTAAAAGTTCAAAACTAATTTTCTCTTCTAATTTATAGCCTAAGCACTTAATAGTTAATTATTTAATTTAACTAATATTATAAATTAAAGTTTACATGGATGGATGTTTGTTAAAGTTTGTAGCCTAAACGGCTGAACGAATATCGATTAAATTTGCCAAAGTTGTAGAGGATAGTCTGGAAGAACATATGTTAGTGCAAAATAGTGTTCATGTACTACATGGTTATATTACATTAGAAACCTCTGAAATTATGAGTATTTATCATCTATATTACACCTGTATTATTCATATAAACCTTCCTCTTGAATCTCGTTCTTTTAAAAAACTACATCACAGTCCGTTGCGTGGTTTTAAAGATCTAAGCATGATTAAGGAAGACACACAGCGAAAGGCGACCTTTTATACTATGTTGGGGAACTAAAAAAAAGCATCGTACACGTGTTATAATTTTTCAACCAAATTGGATTTGACTTTATATTTTCTATTCTTTTATTTTCTTCTTGATCTTTATTCGTATAGATTACACATCGTTTTAAATAGCGACATCAGGATTTGAACTAGAGACTGTATGTTTTACAAAGACTACATTCACTCAGCTATCACGGTATAGTTATGTAACCATAAACGTATTAAATGGCTTTGCGTAACTCAACACGTTACAGACGGTGGTTAATTAGACCAAGAACTCTTGGGAACGAAATTACTTTAGCCGAAAAATAGACAATTCAAGTATGAGATAAGGAATTTAACATATTAACGCATTTTTATGATTGCTAATGAGTCGACGTAACGTAATATAAAACATCCACAGTAATTATTATACAAGTAGAGATGTGCTATTGCAAAAAAGATCGTTCTGTTTATAAATAAAAACAAACCACGTTTTGTATCCGTACATTATGCATAATTTAGCAGCTCCTTTAGTAAATTTAAGCAATTATTTGAATACTAGCTTTCGCCCGCGACTCCATCCGCGTGGAATTAAAAAAAACAAAAGTGAGTAGCCTATGTGTTCTTCCAGACTACCCTCTAAATCTACACAAATTTTTACCGAAATCCGTTCTGCAGTTTAGGCAACAAACTCTAAGAAACATCCATCCATCTAAACTTTCACATCTATAATATTAGTATGCTTAAAGATTAGCGTAAAAGGTTTTAATTGTTACATATTAGTAAAAAGAGACAGTTCTCACAAACAAAAAGGCTTACCGGGTATTAGGTAATTAGGTCCAACGTGCGAGAGTAAAAAGCTAATGCAATTGCTTTATTATTCTTTTCATTATACCCCACGTATTAAACCTTTCTCAGTCTTATACAACAATACTTCAATATCTGTTAAATATATACGAATTCGAAGTAAGTTACAACAGAACACTAACTTCTCTTTTTTACAAATTTGAAAATAAATACATTGTTAACTAGCTGTTGCCTGCGACTTCAACCACGCAAAATTAAGACAAAAAATTAGCCCATAATATGTCAGCTACCCTTCAGTGGAAGTCCGGTCAAAATC